TCAAAAGATACTCCTTGTTGCCCTGTCCCAACTAGGGCCCCTATGTTTCTTCCCAGTTCAATGCTGTGTCCAGTCCAGCTCACACAGAGTGCGTAAGCGTTCTGGCGTCATCACAACGCCGTAGTCTCCGCTGAATCCTTTCTTGAAATTGTTCAGCATGCACTGTAGGGGAGTTATTAGACCTTTTGAGCCACTCCCTCCCATATTTAATATGGCCTTTGTGCAGCGTCCCCAAACACCAAACACACACACATGCAGTTCCCAATTTTCCTCGCCCAGTCGAGCTCGCGCTGCTGGGAACCGGAGTACTTATTGGTTCTACCCCAGGGGAATACCCTGGGGTTACACACACACACGCACCAAGTGCCTCTTTCACTGGACGCTGTACCACACACACTAGCCTCCCGGTACCCCCCCTTTTTTCCTTTTTGCCTTCCTTTAAATCCTTAAGCGTGGGTGGGTATCAGGGGCCAATCCTTCCCTTACTGACACCAAACACGCTTGGGCATGTGATCAGGATGCCCCTTCCCCTTTTTAATTACAAGGGGGTCTCTGTCTTCCTCTGTCCCCAGGGCCCTTTTCCATGTACTCACCAGCCAGCTGGACTCTGGCCTGTCCTGTCAACCTCGGTCCTTCAATCCGTTGCCTTCTCTTCCAGGATCCAGCAGAAGGGTCAAATTGGCTTCGCCCTCCTCCGAAGAAAAGCCTCGGTGGCGCCAGGAGTAAGCGGCCTATTGGCTCTTCCCCTGTGTCCTGCCTAGAAAAGGACAAGGGAGCTGCCTTCTGGTCTTTTGAGGACTTAAGGTCCCTATCCGAGTCACGCAGGCACCAGAAATGTTAGAGACTTCAGAATACAGACCAGAATGGAAAAATCCAGGCAGCAATATTTCTTTAAAACAAAAGTTTTATTCAATTTGGTCTTTGTCAGACAAAAAGCAAAAAGGGGTGCATTCAGGACGAAATGAGAGAGAATGCCCCCGAACACCAGGGGCAAACAGTTTTTATCCCCTCAGGCAAAACAATGGTTCAACCCTTGACCCAGCCCTCAAACATTCCCCTTTATGCATATTCATTGAAGCTCAACCAAATAAAGAATTGATGTCGGCCTTTCGGTTCCAAACTGCATTATACACTAGGTGGCGCTGCGAGTTTAAAATCTTTCTGACCCATTTACTGGTTCCAGTAAATGCTCTGCCCCCCCCCACCTGTTTTTGTGGTTCCAACAGGTTGCTCGGCTTAGAACCTTGTGGTGGGCTAGACATCCTGGGCAAACGAACAGTTTCTCAGAACCGCTCCAAAATCCCCTGACCGCATCCTCCTGCAAACTCGCTGTGTTGCAAAAATATTGTTTTGCAAGCAGGGGCAAGCAGGGGAGAGAGAGAGATGTCTTTTTTAGCTTTTAGTTTGCTCTCTAAGATGGCTTTCAGCTTATCTCCAGCCTGGCTCTCCAAAGTGGACCCAGGTGGACCCCTGGTCCTCACTCCTTCAGCTGAAGTAAAGAACATGGTAACAGCCTGTTGGATGGGGCCAATGGGCCATCGTCCTGTTGTCACAGCGGCCAACCAGATGTCTATGGGAAGCCCCCCAGCAGGACCTGAGTGGTACAGCGGTCTCCCCACTTGCAACTACTGTAATGGAAGAAAAGGCCCAGAGATCACTGCAATATTTCCTGGTTCTGATGATGTGGGTGGCTTGGCTGAACACAATACATCCACTTACCTTGCATCCCTATCCAGCTTGGCTTTTCTCTGGGAAAAGAGAAATTTGCTGTTTGTTTTCTTTTCCACTTTGCCTCCTGGTACCGCAGTTTATTTTATGACTTCCCTAAGCTTTAAATATTTCTGCTGCTCGCTGACATATTCTGCAGGGATCCATGTGATTAATAATCCTGGGAATGACGGTTAGTGAAATAGCACTAAGTTCCATGAGAATACCCATTTTTCAGACACTAAGCCTCTGATCCTCTAACCACCAACTTTCTTGAATAGTTGGCACTGGATATGATGGGGCTGCTCCAGAGCCGGTGCTGGCTTGAAGGATGATGAATGCATGCGGAGCTTAATAAATTGCCCTGCATGTTAAGTTGCTCAACATTATATATCATAAACAGAGATGGAGATGGCTGCTGAATCCATTGCTGTAGCGAAAAGTATAGGGCCTTCATACAGTAGCTGATTAATTAAAGTATTCATATGAAATTGTGCTCTGATTGTTTTTTGAGGGTAACAGCCAGAGGCTGCGCCGAGGCGCTTTGACTAACTAGATGCAAACCAGACACCCAGCTTGTATTTGCATCTGTGCGTATTTCAAATCTGATGAAAAGCAGGAAATGGAAAAACTTGGCAACTCTCCCTGGTTTGGCTTAGCAGAGCCTTTTGGCTTGGTGCATATTTGTGCTCCGTGGGCTGCAGGGAAGTTTAGGTTAATGTGCATCGGGGGTTAGTTTATTCTGGGGCTATGTGAAGCGACGGGTAAAATGAATTAAGAAAGTTTGCTGGGCGGGTTCACAGGAGAAGCAGAAGGTATGCAGCTTTCTGGAGGGGGGCGGTGCTCTCCTGGTGCCTTAGAAGTCCCCACTCCATTCCAATCCTAAATGTACAAAGGCTCCCCAGGAGCTCAGTGGTCAAGGGAAGTCTACACATGCTCAGAAACACTCTCATGCAAAAATATGCTCTGTTGCTCTGGTGTGGAAGTGGCTGTGAAACAGTAGTTTCTAGGCCTATATGTTTAATTGGGTGATCAATGAGATTAACCTTGCAATCTTATACAGTGGAACCTTGGGTTACATACGCTTCAGGTTACATACGCTTCAGGTTACAGACTCTGCTAACCCAGAAATAGTACCTCGGGTTAAGAACTTTGCTTCAGGATGAGAACAGAAATCGTGCTCTGGCGGCGCGGCAGCAGCAGGAGGCCCCATTAGCTAAAGTGGTCTTCAGGTTAAGAACAGTTTCAGGTTAAGAACGGACCTCCAGAACAAATTAAGTACTTAACCCAAGGTACCACTGTACACACTTCCCTGGGAGTAATCTCCGCTAAACTCTGTAGGGCTTACTTCAGGGGATACATGCCCTGCTATAGATTAAAAACTGACTATAATTGTACCCCAATTAACTTGGACTTCATCTTTTTAAAAATTGTTTTCATTACAGGCACTTTTCTTTCACATTAAGTTGAGAATGCTCCTTTATAATCTAAGGCAGAGATGGGACAACATGTAGGTTTCCCACCTTGATCTAAAGTGATAAGAGTTTTCTTTTTAAAAAGATTTTAAAAAAAAATTAAAAAATTTCAGAACCATTGTTTTTTGTTGTTTAGTCGTGTCTGACTCTTCCTGGGGCTTGAATAACTCAGAGAAGCTATGAGTTATGCCGTGCAGGGCCACTCAAGACGGACAGGTCATAGTGGAGAGTTTCGACTAAACGTGAGCCACTCCAGTATCCCTGCCAAGAAAACTCCATGGACAAAACTCATGTGCAAATTTAACAAATACATGAAAATTGACTTCTTTTATTGCATGATGGGCAGCCTTAGTTTTTTGTCCTATTCTGTTGTGCCTTTACAGAACAGGTCTGCAAAGCATTACAGAAGAAGGTGTGAGATTCTCCTCCAGAATATTCTAAGGGGAATTAACTGCAAGAATTTAAAGAGGTGCACATTGACCTTCCAAAGGTCTATCATTCTGCTGGGTCCCTTTCATAGAATCGTAGATTTGGACAGGTCCCAAGGGTCATCTAGTCCAACCCTCTGCAATGTAGCAACCTCAACTTTGCCCAGTCCCAAAGCTTTGTTTGCGTCAGAGTTGGCCCTAGCATTTATTGACAGTGCACAGGCTCAAATGTGTTAGCGTATGAAGCCGCAAGCAGACTGAAGTGGTTCTGAGTAGATGCCGACTGCATTTCCTTTGTTGCCAAGTAACACAGCCTTGTATTTATCTGAAACCCAGGAGAGAGACTGCCAGTCAGAGTAGACAATACTGAATTACATGGACCGATGGTTTGTCTCAGCATAAGGCAGCTTCCTTGGTTCTTGTGAGTAGCCATATCTGTCAGCCAAATGGGCTTCTGGAAGGATGTACATATGTTTGTGTGTTGGTGAAACAGCAGAAGTGTGACAGACATAGTCAGCTCAATGAGCCATGCAGACAAGTGCTGAAAGGAAATCCTTGTTATCCCAGGGAAATGTTTTTCTTCTGCTTGAAGCACCTTAGCTGGTGATGGAGATTCACAGCCTCCCATACGCCGAGAGTATTTGCTGACTCCGAGCTATGGCCCGTCTCCTTGCAAAGCGGACTTCACGGCGATCTTATATCAAGGCAGCAGTTGCCAGCGTGTGACTTCCATCGCTCCACCCCCCCTCCTCATTTGACACCGCCATATTTATGATCTCCTGTCATTGTAATGGAATTTGCCATGCTAAGCTTTTCTGTTTACACTGACGTTTAGCATACTGTATGTGTTAGTTCTTTGGCTTGCGGATTTGGACATGCTGATGATCTGGCGCTGTGCGTGTATTTATGGGCGCTGTCAAAGGAGAGGAAAGTGAAGAGGTGTATCCCAGATCATCTGTCAAATGTGTTTGACCCTTAAATCCCTCAAGGCTGGCTCAGCGTGGGTGGTCCAGTGTTCATTGTTTTCCCACCCACACCCTCCACACCCACACCCCAAAACGAAGGAATGACGTAGGGATTTAAAACTGCTTTGGGGTACATTGGCATTTTGTCAAGGGCAGGTTGCTGTTAACATTTGGAGAGCATCCTTCACTCATCTTGTTCAAGCTTATTATAGACAGCTGCTTTATCCAGGCCTGGGGGCGGCGGAGGGTAGGGAGAACAAAAAAACTGGATAGGAGTAATTAAGACTACATCTCATAGAATCCATGGCCTACGCTAGGCAAAATGAGCTTGCACCAGGGTTATCCAACTTCTGTTGATGGGCATAAATGCTTACAGCAGAGGCTGACCTTTCGTCTCTTTGCTTTTTCCTCCCCTTCCCTTCCAGGAAGATTTGCCGGCACTGCAAGTGTCCCCAGGCAGAGCACTTTGAAACAGTGATGCCTTTGGAAATGGAGAAGACCGTGACCAAGCTGATGTTTGACTTCCAGCGGAATTCGACTTCGGATGATGACTCAGGTTGTGCCTTGGAAGAATATGCTTGGGTTCCTCCAGGGCTGAAGCCGGAACAGGTACGCTTCATTGCTGCTTGGGGCTGAAAGTGCATGGTGCGTGCAAGTGATAAGGTCCTGCCAGTCATAATGGTTTTACCTGTGACTATCTAAAAAGAAACGAGGTGGAGGGGGCTGTCAGAGGAAGTCCTTGAAATCCCTTCATTGCAACCATCTTGCAAATGCTCTGGGCGGGCAAGAATATATTCCTCATAAAAAGGTAAAGGGACCCCTGACCATTTAGTCCAGTCGCGGATGACTCTGGAGTTGCAGCGCTCATCTTGCTTTATTGGCCGAGGGAGCTGGTGTTTGTCCGCAGACAGCTTCCGGGTCATGTGGCCAGCAGGACTAAACCACTTCTGGCAAACCAGAGCAGTGCACGGAAACACTGTTTACCTTCCCGCTGGAGTGGTATCTATTTATCTACTTGCACTTTGATGTGCTTTTGAACTGCTAGGTTGGCAGGAGATATTCCTCATATACATAGTCAAAACACTGGCGCCGTCTCCCACAATGGCATCACCCTTCCTCTAAATAATGCTGCAAAAGATTGTGATTTGTTGATGATTCACTTCTTGCTGTGGGGCCATTTCCTTGCCAGAGTGGTGCATGCTCTAGTTATCTCCCGCTTGGACTACTGCAATGTGCTCTACGTGGGGCTACCTTTGAAGGTGACCCGGAAACTGCAATTAATTCAGAATGCGGCAGCTAGACTGGTGACTGGGAGTGGCCGCCGGGACCACATAACACCGGTCCTGAGAGGTCTACATTGGCTCCCAGTACGTTTCCGAGCACAATTCAAAGTGTTGGTGCTGACCTTTAAAGCCCTAAACAGCCTTGGTCCTGTATACCTGAAGGCGCGTCTTCACTCCCATCGTTCAGCCCGGACACTCAGATCCAGCGCTGAGGGCCTTCGGGCGGTTCCCTCATTGCGAGAAGTGAGGTTACAGGGAACCAGACAGAAGGCCTTCTCGGTAGTGGCGCCCGTCCTGTGGAACACCCTCCCTTCAGATGTGAAGGAAATAAGCAGCTATCCTATCTTTAAAAGACATCTGAAGGCAGCCCTGTTTAGGGAAGCTTTTAATATTTAATGCTGTATTGTTTTTAACACTCGATTGGGAGCCGCCCAGAGTGGCTGGGGAAACTCAGCCAGATGGGTGAGGTATAAATAATAAATTATTATTATTATATTATATTCCTTAGTGCTGGTGGTTACAGCTGTGTGTACAAAGATACTCTTTCATCTATGGGAGGTCCTTGGTCATATGAACACTATTTTTAATAGAGATATAAAACAATGACAGTTTTGCTAGTCATCGAGGCACTTAAAACAGCTGTAGCGCAGGTGAGGCTGACCTGGACTTTGGCTTAGTGTGTTGAGCACATGGTAGTCATTTCGACAGAGCTTCCTAGATGAGCTTGTTGGTTATACTCGATTGGTTGCAGCTGAACCAGGCTTGTTCCAGGAAACAGCACAGTTATGACTGAACGGCCTCCTGAACCACCTGTGGTGACCTAAGATGGAGGAGTGAAGGAGAAGGTTTGGATTGATTAATACAATTTTTAGAATTCACAGGCAGCCCGTTCAACCTAAGGGACTCTGAAGGAGGCTGACATTTAAGACCATGCAAAATATATCCATAAAACAGCACTCCAGATAAAGTCACTAGCAGTGGAGCTAAGAAGAAAGCAAATGCTGAGCCAGTATAGGATAGCGCAGGAGTAGATAACATGGCGTCCTCCACATTTTACAGACTGCAGCTCTCATCAGCTCCAGCAAGGGATTGCGGGAACTGTAAACCAACAAGATCTGGAGGGCAACATATTGGCTCCCCCAGGGGCAGGGGCTAGAACGCTGGGCTTAGGCTGAAAAGATCCAGATTCAAATATCCTTTCAGCCACTGGGTTTCCTTGGACCAGTCGCACCCACTTAGCCAATTGAACAAGGAAGCATATATGCCCACTGTTGGAGATAGTAAGCTAGGAAGCAACTTCAGAGCCTCTGCCAAAGTGCCTGGCTAACTGCGAGTGAGGTTACTTGGGAGGAAGGGGAAGTGTATGGAAACACCTTTGTGGACCAGAACCTAACCTAGAGCCTCCAGCTGCTGCTCCTCCTATACAGGCCCCCAGTCTGAGCTGCTTCATTCCTGAATCTGCAGCTCTCCTTCAAGCTGCAGCCTGCCTGACCTGGGGAAATGGACAAAGGCTATGTAATTGGTGACAGATGACCCCCGGCTCAAATTAAGCACTCCACATTGACACTCCAAAGAGGGTCAAGGTCAGGGTCAGCCCTGATTGCTAGCGTATGGTTCATTACGCCAGCTCCTCAGGCAGGATTGCGAAAAGGCTACCATTATTCTCTTGCAGTAGGATGCTGTTAAGAAGCTGAGCAGGTCTTTCGTTGTGGTAGTGCAGGGCACACATGCAACCATGTGCACCAGGAGGATAATAGCAATGGTATAACCCTGTCAGAAGATGATTAATTCTACAGCGCATGGCATTTGAAGGGAAAGGAAGTGTCTTGTGCTCCTGCGATTTGAGAGAGCATGTCTCCTGTACCCCTGAAAAATCAAACTACTTCTTCTTGTGCTGTTTCAGATTTGCTGGAAAAGTGTTCCAGTGCCTAAAGTGAGCCTTTTCTTTTGCCAGTCAGGGACATTAATAAGACGGATGCACCAAGGCACGCTGCCAGTGTAAAACATTTACATGTTTCTATTACTTACACTTTGCTTGATTCATTCAGCCTTTCCCATGATCATTTTACACTTGAGACCCGGAGCTTAATTTGCCAAGGACTTTGCAAATGTGGCTAGCTCGGATAATTGCTATGGTAATCGTTTTCAAATCATCCAGAGGAGGCCAAAAGCCTTCCTTCTCATTGCTATAATGTGTTCTTTGAACTTGAATCTGATGCTTTCCTCTTGGCTTGGTTCAAAAAACTGTCCTGCAGTCCCTGAAATGTTTTGGCGCTCCCTTTCCTGTAGGTTGTAAATATTATCTGATTGGAGAAGTTCAATATTTTCTTTTTCTTTCCCTCTCTTCCCCCGCTTTTCCTGCAAACTCTATAGTGTTGTGCTGTGAAGATCTTGGCTCCTTAACGTTACAGTTATCCTAAGCTGGATCTTATAAATTCAAAGGTAGTGAGGACCTCTGCCAATCTTAACAAATTATATATGTTTTTCTCTGTGCCTGCTGAATGACTTGGGAAAGGGGGCTACAATTTAGAGGGGCTGCAATTTAGAAGAGTGCACATCCTTGCTGCTTTCCCTCAAGTATTGCCTTCTCAGAAGGTGTCCGCCTCCATCCCGAGCCTTCAAACGCTTTTAACTCTCCTTTAGTGAAATCCTCAGTGTGAGTGTCTTGACATTAGAGCCTTTAAAAGGGGGGAAATGGAAGAAGAACGCAGCAGCAAATGGGCTGGCAGCGCTTCTGTCCTTGTTGTGTCTTAGTAATTTGAAGGCCCAGGACTTTGGCATAGTCTGTGAATTGAAGGCATGAGAACAGCAAATGAAACTGCATTTATAGCTGCTTAGCAACATACTCTCTGCCTGTAGGTGCTTAGCAACAGGTGATCTTTCATTCCTGGTGTGCAGGCACTAGATTCCTACATATGAACAGGATTTAATGGTCTAGATGAGGAACTGGGTAGTGTAGGGCACTGTTTCCACCTTCTGCAAGGTCTGGAGAGGCTCTTGCAAGTGATACAAAGGCATGCCACTTAGGACCAAAGTGTCTCAAAACCTGAAGCTATAGGGTTTTTGCAGAACAACATGTAGGAAGACCATTTGGGCTCCTTTAGGAGGAACGGTGGGATATATATTCTAGTAATAAGTAGTGGTAGTAGTCCTAGGGACGTGGATGGCGCTGTGGTCTAAACCACAGAGCCTAGAGCTTGCTGATCAGAAGGTCAGCGGTTCAAATCCCTGCGACGGGGTGAGCTCCCATTGCTCAGTCCCTGCTCCTGCCAACCTAGCAGTTCAAAAGCACGTCAAAGTGCAAGTAGATAAATAGGTACCGCTTCGACAGGAAGGTAAACGGCATTTCTGTGCGCTTCTCTGGTTCGCCAGAAACTGCTTAATCATGCTGGCCACATGTCCTGGAACTGTATGCAACCCCAGTGTCGTCCGTGACTGGACTTAACAGTCGGGGTACCTTTACCTTTACCTTTAGTAGTCTTCCACAGTCTCCTAAGACAGACGGATGCCAACAAGCAACAAATATTTCCCTCTCCATTTGCTAGCTGGACTGGTGTTTGGACTTGGTTGTAGGCTAGATGAGGGCCAATAAACAGACACTCAATCCTGGCAAAATGGAGGTGCTGTTTGTGGGTGGTTCTGGAGTCCAGATAATTGGCCTGTTTTGGATGGGGTCATACTTCCCCTGGAAGAGCAGGTTCATAGTCTAGGGATGCTCCTGGATCCATCTTTGTCTCTAGAGGCCCAGGTAACCATTTCTCTACTGGGATAGCCTGACCACTGTTGTCTATGTCCTGATAATCTCCAGCCTGGGTTACTACAATGTGCTGTATGTGGGGCTGTCCTTGAGGCTGCCCTGGAAGCTGCCCTGGATTGCAGTGGCTTGACTGCCAACATGTTGCCCCATTGTGGGAAGAATTGCACTGGCTGCCAATTAGCTATGGAACTAAGTTCAAGGTGCTGGTTTTGTTGCATAAAGCCATACAAATTGAGACCAGAATACAGTGGTACCTCGGTTTTTGAACGTCTGTTGACAAACATTTCTGTTTATGAACACCGTAAACCCGGAAGTAAATGCTTCGGTTTTCGAACACGCCTCGGAAGTCGAACATGCCATGTGGCTTCTGCTGAGTGCAGGATCCTGAGGCCTAGCTGTCGGCTGTTGAGTCCTGAACACCCGCACAACACAGAGGTGATATTTGGGCATATTTGGTGCCTGTGTGCAATCAGTCTGTGCTTATCTCAGGAGCACTTGTGCAACCAGTTTGGGAAACTGGGCCTTGGTTTTCAAACGTTTCAGAACTTGAACATTCTTCTGGAATGGAT